GAGAGAGAGAGAGAGAGATTTTCATTTAGCTTGTGGTAAAAGTTCCAGAGAGAGATTTTCATTGAGCTTGTGGTAAAAGTTCCCTAGAGAGAGGTTTCTCCAATTTATTGTAGAGAGAGAGAAAGATTTCTCCAAATTATTGTCTGAAATATGGTAAATTCCAGTAGAATTCTCCGTTCTCCTTTATGTACCTTAAAATCTCCGATGAATCTTCCTTTTTCCATTTTTATTCCTTTTCTTTGTACATTTTGCATCCCATGTATAATCTCTATTTCAAACCTTCTCCGATTTTATCTTTGGAATCAAATGTACAATCCTCATTTCAAACATTTCTCTGTGTTTTGTCCCCATATTTTTATGTAGAATAGATACTTTTCTTAAAACTCCCTGGGCTGTTATTTTGTCCCCTTTTCAAGAAAATTCTAAAACCAATGTGATTTTCCTGCTAATTTCCCTTTCTTCCTTTACAAGTCTCTTCATTTTTCATCGTCTTTCGAAAAAATTTCCTTTTCTCTCCTCTGCAATCAGTTCAAGCTTTTGAACTTCTCGTCTTATGCAATTTCATGATAAGTTTCTTTCAAACTTTGGCGTTTGTTTTCTTCTCCACATTTGATTCCTTTCCTTTGTTGCTTTTTACTATTTTTACTACTAATTTCCCAAATTTATAATCCCTTTCTCACCTTGTTGTTAATTTTTTTTTTTATATTTTCTTGTGATTTTTCTCCATATCTTACTGTTCTTTTATAATAAGGTGTTTTGAAAGTATGTGCATTTTTTTTTTCTCATTTTGAATCTCAGTTCTCGAACTTTGATGCGTTTTTTTTTATACCCCGTTTTACTTTGCATTTGGGTTAATGCGTTTCCCTAATCGCTGTTCAGTTTTACTGCTTAGTCTCTGAAACACCGCTCTGAGCTTCCTTTTAGTTTAAGTGAATCTTGGCAGATGCGTCCTGTGTCTTTCTGTGACTGCTTTTGTCTTGTAATGCAGTTTATCACGAGGCCGTGGCAGGGGTTTTCTTCTCTCTCTTAATAGGAAACAGAAAAGTTAGAGATAGAGAGAAAGAGGAGAAACTGAAAAGCAAGGGGAAAGAGGCGGGTTGTTTTAGCGTTTTTCAGTTTTCACCGCTGCCTTCTCTTTCTCTCTGTAAAACCCATCTTCTCTGCAATGGCAGAGCCCCATTCCCCTCTGTTTTTATCCCTAAAACCATCTCCCATCCCATAATACCCCATTGCCGGTGCTTCTCTTTCTTCCTCAATACCAGTTCATGATTCTATTTGTATGTTTCTCTCTCTAGAGCATTCTTCAGCTGAAGAAAATTCTACTCTCTCTATCGCCATTGAAATACAGTCCATATTGAAGTATCAGTAGAGTTGTCCACTGCTTCTACTCGTCTCTCTCTCTCTATTTCTTCTCTCGGTACCTGTACACTGCTTTTTTTGGGCTTCCATCGTATCTCTCTGAGTCGTGCGCCCATTTTTTCTCTCTCTAAAACCTTTTTTTCTCAAGGTCTCTTTCACGAGCTTTGGTATTTTCTCTCTACGATTTTTAGTTTCCATGCTTGTTCTCTTTCACGAGCTTTGGTATTTTCTCTCTATGATTTTTAGTTTCCATGCTTTTTTGACTCTGTAAGGTATTTTCTGTCTATGATTTTTAGTTTCCATGCTTTTTTGACTCTGAAAGGCTCTCTTCCTGCATGACTTTCGATCTGTCTAGCTCTAAGTCCCAAAATTTCTCATTAAATCCTCCCATCCTATCTGTTTATCTCTCTGGACCTTGTCCAATGATCTTCTCTCCTCTCTCTCTCTAAAGCCCATTAGTCCCCTCCCATCAAAACCATGGGGCGCGCAACCAGGTGGCTCAAGAGCCTCTTTGGTGTGGGCAAAAAAGAGCAAAAGGACCAAACGGACCGGAAAGACAAGAAGCGCTGGGGATTTGCCCGGGATCCCCCACAAGACTATCAGATTCCGGCCAAACAGGGTCAGATTCCGGTGCCTCCAAATGAGATTCCATCCATGGGGGCCGACACCTGGCTTAGGTCATACAGGGACGCCTATTACAACGAGAGAGAAAAGGAGCAAAACAAACACGCAATAGCGGTGGCCGCTGCAACCGCTGCAGCCGCTGATGCCGCGGTGGCTGCCGCTCAGGCAGCGGTTGCGGTGGTGCGGCTCACAAGCCACGGCCGCGGCACCATGTTCAGCGGCGGCGTTGCTGGTTCACGAGAGCGGTGGGCCGCCGTTAAGATTCAGACCGTTTTCAGGGGCTATCTGGTACACACTTTACCCCGTTATCTGTCTCAATCCTCCGACTTCCGTGTTTTTAGTAATGGAATTATGATTGTTTGTTTATTGTTTACTTTTGAGTTCTTTGATGAGGCAATTATTTTGTAGATATTATAGATTTCTTTGAAATTGGTTGGATGGGGAGAAACCTTTTTAAATATTTGTTCCTATTTTTTGTGGATATTTTCAATTTTGTGGGGTCATTAGTCATGGGTTGATGAGGGACCACATTATTATTTCATACTTTTGGTTATAGATGTATGGGGTTTCTCAAAATGGGTGGCTTGCAAATTAACCATCACTTTCTTCCCCTTTCATTCTGACTAATGCTTTATAATTTATTCTTATCAGTGGGAAATATTTTTTTTGTTTTATTTTATAGGTTTCTTTGAATTGTGGGGATTGGGAGAATCTCTGTCATGGTATTTTTTTATTTCTTATTATTGGTATTTTTTAATGTTTACTTGGTTCTTTTCAGATGCTGTGTTAAAATCATAGTTAGGATCTTTGAAATTTTGTTTTAATGGAGGATATTTATATGTGTTTATAATTTCTTTATTTTCACTTTAACAGGGACTGGGGGTAAAGGTAATCTTTTCTGTTCTTCACGTTTTCATTATGGAACGGACCCCTTTGTTTGTTTTTTATTGATCTACTGTTCCAGGAAACGCTTTGCTTTTACACTTAAAACCGGGTTTCTGCAATATCCCCACACCATTTTTTTAGAGAAGATTTATCAAAATACACAAGATCTTGGAATGAGATTTTGCAAAATATCACCACACTATTTTTTTTTTTTGGGAAAATTTATCAAAATATAAATAAGGGATTGAGTATTCAACATTTTATTTATTGATTATTTAATTTCAAAGGGAAATTTATCAATATATTCATTTCAGATATAGGCAATGCAAGAATTTACCCATATTTTTATGGGATTGTATACAATGAGATTATTTATCTTTGTTACAAGAATTTCACAAATGCTCCTTGCCGGTAGATATCAACTTGAATGGCTTGGGGTGTCGTTACAAAGTTCGATAACTTTTTCTTTGAACTTTTGAATCTATGGCCATTTCAATATTGACAGCCACTCCTTGAAATCTAATAGATAAGAGTGATTTTGACCACTTTGTATTAAAGATAAATAGTTTTTATTTATTTCAAATACCCATCCAAATAAATATGATTTTGACTTGAAACGGTAGAAAGAGTGCATAATAGATAAATGTATTTTGGTAAAGGTTAGATTTTTGTAAGGCACCTCCTTATACTATAGATGTGGATGTGAGACACACCATTAAAAATCAATTAGAGATAGGCTGGAAATTTTATGATAATTTTAAATTTAAAAAATAGTTGGGATCAATAAAATCAATAAACACTTGAAAATTGTGAAAATAAGATGCCCATGCAACATAAAGTATTTTTAGGATTTGAATTTTTTTTTAAAGTAAGGATCCAATGCAAAGGTTGTATCATAGTATGATGCAACGACATTTCTAAAAAACCATGTTTGTGGTATTTGGCTGACCCCAAAATTTGCACACATACTCTCTCAATCTCAATAATCAATCGCTCAAAAAAAAAGAGTTCAATTTGAACCTTAGATATGTTCAAAATGAGTCCCTTCAATAAAACGAATCTAGACTATTTATTTTATGAATTTCAAGATCTTAGCCTTTATAAATTCAAAATCACTTTTTTCTTTATTAATATTATTTATCTAATGATAATAAAGCCATCCAAAAAAATTGGAAATGAAAAAATCCATCGATAGGTCTAGATCTAAGCATCGTACCAAAATAAACGGTCTATGTTAATTGAGTTAAAAAAATACTTTTTAAGTTATGTTTTCAATTTTTTATTTGTTTGTAATTGTTCATTAGAATGAAAAGAGTGTATATTTCAAATTTTAAATCAAACAAATGGCCGTAAGGTGGTTTTGTAATACTGTTGCATCTTATTACTGTACAATAGTTGCATAAATCATTGCTCTTTTTTTAACCCATTCATCTGGAGATGGAGATGATCAATTGGAGGATTCTCCAACATTGGAATACTCTGTTTTAGAGGATTTTTGAGGTAAATTTTACTTCAATATTATATGAGGTTATAATCTTATAGAACCTTTTTTCTTTGGTAAATATTCCATTCCAAAATATTAGTGAGAATAGACATGACAATGAATGAGTTGCAACAGTCGAGAAAAAGTAAGTTGTGAAATTATTGTAAAATAAGTATACCCTTCGTTTCCAAAGGAATACTTGTACTACTACACTCTTTAGGCTGAGGTATTTCTTACTTTTTAGGGATTTTCCCCCTGGCATTTTGTTATTTTTCTGCCTATTTTTGTTGATCTTCTTTTGTTTTTATCCGTTGGGTTTGTTTTCGTTGCCTCCAGGCGAAGAAGGCGCTCAGAGCGTTGAAAGGGTTAGTTAAGCTTCAGGCTCTGGTGCGAGGGTACTTAGTGAGAAGGCAAGCGGCCGCCACACTGCACAGCATGCAGGCCCTCATCCGAGCCCAGGCCACGGTCCGAACTCAACGAGCTCATCGCTCCCTCCAGACCGAGCCAACGCGTCCTAGAAAATCCATTGTAAGTTCCCTTGTACGTTTTTTTGACAATAATGTGACGAAATTTTCTTTTTTTTTTTGAATGTTAACTGTTAGTAGCGGGTTAGCAAATTTTTGAAAACCCTTAGTAGTTTTCAAAAGGGGTTAGCTCGAAAGTAGTTTGCATTGGTAGGTGGTGCAACAACCTTGACCTCAACCTTATTCCTTATCTGCCCGTATTATTTTTTAAATTTTAGAAAACCAATATTTGGATGTTTTGTTAGAGCTGCAACCCTTCTCAAAATAAACAAAAGCCTTACGTCAAAATTAATGTAAATTGGAGTCGGAAAACCTTCAAATTGATCGCTATTATGGTCTTAAATAAATTTAAGATTTGAAGCCTTAAAAATAGCCTCTATTGCTCACACATTATCTTAACCATCATTTTTTACAAATCTTATAATCAACTGTGAAAAATGATTATAGAGCCCTTATAGAGATTTCACGTGCCCAAAGTGTCTTGCAATTAGGATCCGAGGTAAGGCTTTTTTTTTTTGGGGACTAGGTATGGTATAAACATGGATCTTGAAAGGAATACGTCTCCCATGTGCGTCTTCAGGAAAATTTAGCATCGTAACATGATCATGTCTGTTATCACCGTCCAATCCATTGGTTGACGGTGACGGAGGGCTAAATTTTCAACATACGACAAAATTACCTGAATGCCCATCCTTTCAATAGTTACTCTACAAACAAATTTGTACGTTCCAGTGCCTCTGTTGTGTATACGGCTTTTTGGTAATTTCCCCATGTACTAAAATGTCTTGCTACTTTTTCTTTTCTTTTTTTTTTGATCTTTTAGGCCGAGACAAAACAGCCCCTCGTATCCAAACACTTTTTCACCAGAAAACCAGTGTCCTTGCTTCCTTCGTTTTCACCCACAGGCCGTACGAGAGGTAGATTCCCGATATTTTTCTTTGCCTCATGGGCGCTTTGGTCATTTACTCTTTCAGGAGCGCCATGAGGAACCCTCTTTCCATCACAGCCGTCGCCTCTCCGCATCAACGGAGCCCGCCTTCTCCCTGGACGTGATCGAGACACCCAAGATAGTCGAGATAGACACGTGTCGCCCGCGCACCTCCGACACTTGTTGCCCATCCCGCGTGTCCGACACCTCTCGTCCGCGGACCTCGGACTCATGGCGCAGGGGCCCGCCACCCTTGAGACCCACCCGCAAGAGGAACCCCTCAATCTCAGACTCCACCTCAAATTTCGACCAAAGCTTCTCGTCGGCACCCACTGAGCTTGCATGGATGGAGCCAGGGCACGCACTAAGCTCACCACTTGGCTCATATTATGAGCCCGATTGGACCATGGGCTCGAACCTTCTCGCCCCAAACCTCGACGAGTGTCGGTTCTCGACTGCACAGAGCACACCTAGGTTCTCCATTTCGGTGCGAGCGCCTAACACGCCGACAAAGAGCACTTGCGGGGAAATGTCGTGTCATTATTCTGGCTCAAAGGGGTATATGGCGGATACACAGTCATTCAGGGCTAAATTAAGGTCTCATAGCGCCCCTAAACAGAGGCCAGAAGGGGGGTTAGGATTTGGAAGGAAAAGGTATTCGATAGGGGGTGAAGAGGGGAGGTCGAGTCTGAGCGGCGCGAGGATGCAGAGATCGTGTTCGCATGTGCAGGAGGCCTTTAGGAGCACGGTTGTGACGAGGCTCGAGAGGGTAGGGTTCGGACGTGAGCAGGGTCAGCAGTGCGGGCATTGGTGACTCTGGTCCATACGCTCTCTCTATCTTCTTTACTTCCCTCTTTTCATGATCCTCTCTCGTAGTGCCACACTGGCACCAAATTCGACAATGCGATTGGTGGTGGTTTTGGGCAGGCTGACTAACTCTACCCTGCTCTCTCGTTCTTTCTTGGCCCCCCATCACTCTCTTCAGACGGAAGATGGTGTGCGAAATTGACAGTAAGGGCTGTATTGATGGGCCGACTAACTCGGCCAATCTTTCTCTATCTTTTTTTCTTTCACCATTCCTCTGTAATTGTTTGTGTAAATTTCGTTTAATTATGCAATTCGGTTCTGAAGTTGAGGTCACTCTGTTTACTCTCCTTGTGGTTTTTAAAGTGTTTTGTTATACTATTTTTGCTGAGTTACTCTTTCGCTCTCTTTCTATCTCACACTCTTTGCGAATTGGTGGTTTCCCTGTTTTGCAGAATCACTCTCTCTCTGTATCTTTGTTCTGCAGAATCACTCTCTCTAACTTTGTGAATTGGTGGTGTCAATGTTTTGCAGAATTACTCTCTAGCTTTGTGAATTGGTGGTGTCCCTGTTTTACAGAATTACTTTCTCTCTCTCTCTCTCTCAGATGATGGGATTGACTGGGATGGCAAATTATGACTCGCCCTAAACGCATCGAAAGCAAAACCGAAGTATTTTATGTAGCGAGGTTAAACCGTTTGCAGTGTTTTTGAGCAAGCGGGTTCAAAAATGGTCACAGGAAAATGAATCATGGAAAAATTCCCCACGCTGTGGTCCTAAGAGTTATTGAATTGACCGAATTTTGTAGTTCATCCAAACGGGGCTTAATTGTTTTCCTCGATTTCTCGATTTTTAACGACTGGTTCCCGAAATTTATATATCATGTGTTGTTAATTGAAGTTTCGGATTTTTTTTATTCTGGTGGTTCTCTCTCAAGTCCAAACTAAAAGGAAATGCGTAAGGCTGATCAAATCATGGTTCGGAGTTGGTAATATTTTTTCATCTATGCGGTGCCTACGATGACTTCCTTTTTTGTCGGCTAGGTTGCATAAAGAGAAAATGTTAATGAGACGAGCACATAAGCTAGTATGTTAAAAAAATAAAAGAAAATAAATTCATAATAAATACCTAAAAGACATTAATAATATAAAAAAGGTGTGGTTTCTATAAGGTTGCAATCTTAAATAATCCAATTAAGGTGCACTTTCAAATATGATAATAACATATAATTTTGATATAAAATATTCTTAAGATTATCCCAAAATCTATTTTCTTATCTAACTATAAAATTTTAAACTTAAAAATGGTTAAAATCAAGTACAACTATAAAAATATGAAAATTTTGAAAATAGACGATCTAGATAATATGTATGTTGTACGATGCATTAATTTTGAGACTCAAAATCTTTTTTTCTTTCATATCATACATCTCGATTCCGAGATTCTCAATTAGAAGGTTTTTCAATATTAAACCAACCTTTTCGGATAATTTTTTGAGGTGCATCTGCAGTTTGACATTCTAAGGTTGCAACCTTATATAAATTTTTTCTATATAAAAATTAACTATAACAAGCTAAAGATTCGATAAATTTAAATGGATGCAAAGTAAAATAAAATTTTGTTTAAAATTTAAACAAAAATTAATGGTATTTTATTTTGGTTTAAATGGATTTTGTTAAAATTCTTTTGGTTTAGTTTCATAGTTAAAATATCATGCAAAACATATGCCTTTAGCATGTTGAGAAAGAAGAGAGAGGTTAAGTCCGACAATGGGCTGGCCACCAGAGCCTCAAGGCAAGGACGGGGCTGGCTGGTTACGGTTATGATAGTGCTTGCTGGTTTGTACGAGGTTGCAACCTTAGACAATCAATGTAAGGTGCACTAAGAATCTAACCTTATCTCTTATTATAAAGTTTTATAATTCCAAAATAGTTCAAATTAGTGTTTAAAAAAACGCCGAGTCTCGTCCGGTTCGACTCGGGAATCGCCATGGGGGGATCGAATCGGTTAAAAAAACGGGAATCGTCCGATTCTAGAGAGAACCGGACGATTCTGCACAGTGACTCGCCGATTCACTGTACGGAATCGGCGAGTCCGTGAAGAACACCGGTTGCACAATGTTCTTCACGGGATTCTTTGAAATTTGTCATTTTTTGATCATTTTTCTTATTTTTTTTGGCATGTGATCTACTTTGCAGGCTGTAAAGAGCTTTATTCAGCTTTTACACGGATTAAATGGTTGAAAAATTTGGTGTTTTTGGATCACGAAACTTGCATTTTTAGGGTTTCCGCCTTTCCTTGTGTTTCATGCCAAATAGGGCATGAATCTTTCAAAATTTATAGGCATTTTGATCGTAAAGTTGTGCATCAAAACCTTTTGTTACTAATTTGTGATAATCGTTGAGAAAAACAGAGTTTTTTGGAGATTGAAGGCTTCGGTTCACAAAATCAGGTAAGAAGTTTGGGGTTTTTTTTTTTTCTGCCATATGATTTATTTCATGACATATTTTGAAGATAATGAGTTCAATTTGTAGGGTTTTTAATCTTTATTGTATCTATTATGATTTAAAATTTTTAATTTTATGTAATTTAGGCAATTACAGCATAAAATTTGAGATGAACACAGAGATGTTTGCGGAACCAAAATTCCGCTGTTTTTTTTTTTTTCTACCTTTTGATTTTTTTGCATGATATATTAGAAATAATGTGTTAAAAATTTAGGGTTTTGATTCCTTATATTGTTGTTTATCAGAAAATGCACTCAATTGGATGTAATTTATTCACTTAGAGGTGGATTTTTTAGTTAAAATGGCTTATGTAAAATGGCTATGGGAAGAAAAGAATTTTTTTTTTTTTTTTTGTAATCCATGATCGAATGTTTTGTAATACTTGATCGATTTTTTTGTAATCCATGATAGTAATTGTTAATCCATGATCGAATTGTTTGTTTTTTTTTCTTTTTTGTAACCCATGATAGAATTTTTTGTAATCCATGA